CATGTTGTTATAGTGCTTTGCCATCAGTTTGTTACCCTTGGCATTGCTATGCCTCTTAGGGCAGGTAATCCTGCGTGAAACACATCTACAAAGTTTGTCATGTTAATAGGAGACTGTTAAGCACCATGTGAAGGCCGGACTAATAACAAATGTTATTGATCAGTAGCGATCTGCTGTACTCTTCCAAGCTGTGCACATTGTCCCCACCAAAATGATTTTCATACTGCTTCTGTCATTTCAGGGCTGGTTGCATTAGTCACATTCAGGGTCTTCCCGGGCTGATCAGTTGCAATCTTCCGATGTATAGAGCTTATTTTTGCTGTTGATTACATCACCACAAGCTGTATAATTTACATTTTGAACTTGTCACTGTAGCTTTGAGGTCATAAATCACATCCGCATTCTATCATTCTAATGCAAGCTGGAATGTAAAATACATGAACCAGTAGGGAACATTAAAGGGCAACTTCATTTATTGCACAAAGGGTTAAAGAACATCAGAGTCCGTCATGCTAGGCTAATGGTGCTGTTTTCAGTGAAACAAGGGCTGGGAAAAGATCACGGAGATCGAGTTAACTGCTGGAAAATTCCGGTCATTTTGGACTAGTTCCAACTTATAGCAACTCACCCAAAATAGCATTGTTACAGTTTAACCTTAACGTGAGAGCAGCTGAGCTGTGTCTGAAAAGGCCACTATACAGCCCTGTCCTCTTACACGGTATACAGAAGTGCTGTATATGATGAGCTCATTTTTACTAGGGGATCTCTAAATTATTTTGATTCTTAAATAATTACAAAAAACCACAAGTAGCACTCATTTTACTTGACCATCAGTTAAAGATGGGGGTCTTTGACAATATATTGTTAATGTAAACATGGTTTTCTGCACTTTGTCTTGAAAACATGGCATTTACTAATTGAGAAGTATGTTTTGTTCTCTCGTCTCCCCTTATCTTGTTTGTAACTTATTTGATTCATTAGTAAACAGGTTTTCACATATAATCAGGGGTGCTCAAGATGTCCTACCCCTTCCACCGACCGTTTTAGAGCTTAAACTCCCTGATTTCGCAAGCTTCCTTATGAAATATGTAGCTAATCACTTGGCTAGTAGCTTAACTCATGCTTTTTATAAATGGAGATATAGACCTGAAAAACTGCAGGAGTCTGAGACGGTTGAAGCTTTGCCCAGGCGGGCTCATGTAGTGTAATTACTTGGAAGTACATGGGGCAGCATTTAATCTTCCTCGGATGTCTGAGCGAGTTGTCTACTTACTGCTGCGGCAATTGTTGCAAGTTGGGACAGGTGTAGCCATCTGTGAGCAGTGGTTTCATCACAGGGAGTGCAAGTTGTGAATGCTGCTTAGTGTCTATTTA